CCGATCGCCTAAACAGTTTTTACCCCTTGTGTGCAAAACGGTACATTACAGGGGGTATTGGGGGGTATTATTAATTGCCCCATGGGGGGTATTATTAATTGCCCCATGGGGGGTATTATTAATTGCCCCATGGGGCGGTATTAGGGCATTATTAATTGCCCCATGGGGCGGTATTAGGGCATTATTAATTGCCCCATGGGGCGGTATTAGGGCATTATTAATTGCCCCATGGGGCGGTATTAGGGCATTATTAATTGCCCCATGGGGGGTATTAGGGTATTATTAATTGCCCCATGGGGGAGTATTAGGGTATTATTAATTACTAATTGCCCCATGGGGGGTATTAGGGTATTACTAATTGCCCCATGGGGGGTATTAGGGTATTATTAATTGCCCCATGGGGGGTATTAGGGTATTATTAATTGCCCCATGGGGGGTATTAGGGTATTATTAATTGCCCCATGGTGGGTATTAGGGTATTATTAATTGCCCCATGGGGGGGTATTATTAATTGCCACATGGGGGGTATTATTAATTGCCCCATGGGGGGTATTAGGGTATTATTCATTGCCCCATGGGGGGGTATTATTAATGGCCCCATGGGGGGGTATTATTAATGGCCCCATGGGGTAATAGGGTTAATCGTCTTGGGCTTGGGGGGTATTAGGTATTATTAATTGCCCCATGGGGGGGGTATTAGGTATTATTAATTGCCCCATGGGGGTATTAGGTATTATTAATTGCCCCATGGGGTATTAGGGTATTATTAATTGCCCTATGGGGGTATTAGGGTATTATTAATTGCCCCATGGGGGTATTAGGTATTATTAATTGCCCCATGGGGGTATTAGGGTATTATTAATTGCCCCATGGGGGTATTAGGGTATTATTTAATTACCCTAAGGGGGGTATTAGGGTATTATTAATTGCCCCATGGGGTATTATTAATTGCCCCATGGGGGTATTAGGGTATTATTAATTGCCCTACGGTGGGTATTAGGTATTATTAATTGCCCCATGGTGGGTATTAGGTATTATTAATTCTGTTCCATGGGGTATATTAGGGTATTACACTGCCCCATGGGGGTATTAGGTATTATTAATCGCCCATGGGGTATTATTAATTGCCCCATGGGGCGGTATTAGGGTATTATTAATTGCCCCATGGGGCGGTATTAGGGTATTATTAATTGCCCCATGGGGCGGTATTAGGGTATTATTAATTGCCCCATGGGGCGGTATTAGGGTATTATTAATTGCCCCATGGGGCGGTATTAGGGTATTATTATTTGCCCCTGGGGGGTATTAGGGTATTATTAATTGCCCCATGGGGGGTATTAGGGTATTATTAATTGCCCCATGGGGGGTATTAGGGTATTATTAATTGCCCCATGGGGGGTATTATTAATTGCCCCATGGGGGGTATTATTAATTGCCCCATGGGGGGTATTAGGGTATTATTAATTGCCCCATGGGGGGTATTAGGGTATTATTAATTGCCCCATGGGGGGTATTATCTCACCCATGACTTTCTTGCCCGCCTGGCTGCGCGTTGTGCCCGGTTTCGGGATCTCCGGTTGGATGGTCGGTTCGGGCTCCCGGGGCTCCACCTCAGTCATGCCGGTATCGGTTCCGGTATCTCTCCGATTGTACCCCTCCCCCTCCTGTACCGAGAGCCCGGAACCGGTCCACAGCCCGCCCTTATATACCGCGGCGGCAGTCCAGCCTGTCAGTCACATCGACTCGGGCCCTGATTGGCTGATTAACCAACACTGAGCACCCGCCCCTCTCCTGATTGGCTGACAACAAAATTAGCGGGAAACCAAATGCATGGAATAGCCTTCCAGCTGAAGTAGTAGAGGTTAACACAGTAAAGGAGTTTAAGCATGCGTGGGATAGGCATAAGGCTATCCTAACCATAAGATAAGGCTAGGGACTAATGAAAGTTTTTAGAAAATTGGGCAGACTAGATGGGCCGAATGGTTCTTATCTGCCGTCACATTCTATGTTTCTATGTTTCTATGTTTCTATACACCTCACTGACTGCTGGCGAGATGATGGGAATACACCTCACTGAATGCTTGGGGGATGATGGGAATACACCTCACTGACTGCTTGGGGGATGATGGGAATACACCTCACTGACTGCTTGGGGGATGATGGGAATACACCTCACTGATTGCTTGGGGGATATTGGGAATACACCTCACTGACTGCTGGCGGGATGATGGGAATACACCTCACTGAATGCTTGGGGGATGATGGGAATACACCTCACTGATTGCTTGGGGGATGATGGGAATACACCTCACTGACTGCTGGCGAGATGATGGGAATACACTTCACTGACTGCTTGTAGGATGATGGGAATACACCTCACTGACTGCTGGCGGGGTGATGGGAATACACTTCACTGACTGCTTGGGGGATGATGGGAATACACTTCACTGACTGCTTGGGGGATGATGGGAATACACCTCACTGAATGCTTGGGGGATGATGGGAATACACCTCACTGATTGCTTGGGGGATGTTGGGAATACACCTCACTGACTGCTGGCGGGATGATGGGAATACACCTCACTGATTGCTTGGGGGATGATGGGAATACACCTCACTGACTGCTGGCGAGATGATGGGAATACACCTCACTGACTGCTTGTAGGATGATGGGAATACACCTCACTGACTGCTGGCGGGGTGATGGGAATACACTTCACTGACTGCTTGGGGGATGATGGGAATACACTTCACTGACTGCTTGGGGGATGATGGGAATACACCTCACTGAATGCTTGGGGGATGATGTAAATACACCTCACTGACTGCTTGGGGGATGATGGGAATACACCTCACTGACTGCTGGCTGGATGATGGGAATACACCTCACTGAATGCTTGGGGGATGATGGGAATACACCTCACTGACTGATTGGGGGATGATGGGAATACACCTCACTGACTGCTGGCGGGATGATGGGAATACACCTCACTGACTGCTTGGGGGATGATGGGAATACACCTCACTGACTGCTGGCGAGATGATGGGAATACACCTCACTGACTGCTTGGGGGATGATGGGAATACACCTCACTGACTGCTGGCGAGATGATGGGAATACACCTCACTGAATGCTTGGGGGATGATGGGAATACCCCTCACTGACTGCTTGGGGGATGATGGGAATACACCTCACTGACTGCTGGCGAGATGATGGGAATACACTTCATTGACTGCTTGGGGGATGATGGGAATACACCTCACTGAATGCTTGGGGGATGATGGGAATACCCCTCACTGACTGCTTGGTGGATGATGGGAATACCCCTCACTGACTGCTTGGGGGGTGGGAATACACCTCACTGACTGCTTGGGGGGTGATGGGAATACACCTCACTGACTGCTTGGGGATGATGGGAATACACCTCACTGATTGCTTGGGGGATGTTGGGAATACACTCACTGACTGCTGGCGAGATGATGGGAATACACCTCACTGACTGCTGGCGGGATGATGGGAATACACCTCACTGATTGCTTGGGGGATGATGGGAATACACCTCACTGACTGCTGGCGGGATGATGGGAATACACCTCACTGACTGCTTGCGGGATGATGGGAATACACTTCACTGACTGCTTGTAGGATGATGGGAATATACCTCACTGAATGCTTGGGGGATGATGGGAATACCCCTCACTGACTGCTTGGTGGATGATGGGAATACCCCTCACTGACTGCTTGGGGGATGATGGGAATACACCTCACTGACTGCTTGGGGGGCGATGGGAATACACCTCACTGACTGCTTGGGGATGATGAGAATACACCTCACTGATTGCTTGGGGGATGTTGGGAATACACCTCACTGATTGCTTGGGGTATGATGGGAATACACCTCACTGAATGCTTGGGGGATGATGGGAATACACCTCACTGATTGCTTGGGGATTGATGGGAATACACCTCACTGACAGCTCATGTTCTGTTTCCCCCTCCCAGTGCTTGCGAATGAGATCGAGGGGTCCTCGCACCCTCCTACCATAGAGCTGTTTGAAGGGGGAAAACCCAGTTGACTCCTGGGGCACCTCTCGATATGCGAACAAGAGGTGCGGCACGAATCGCTCCCAGTCTCTGTACTCGTCTGTAAAGGTCCGCAGTAACTGTTTCAGGGTATCATTAAAACGCTCACAGAGACCGTTAGTTTGGGGATGGTAGGGGTTTGATACCACAGACCTCCCATAACTGCTGGGTTAAGTCTGCCTTAAACTGAGTCCCCCTGTCAGACAGGATTTCGTTCGGAAACCCCACTCTGGTGAAAATTCCGACCAAGGCACTGGCAACAGTGTCAGCCTGAATATTTGACAGAGCGATGGCTGCCGGATAGCAGGTAACGTAGTCCACCACGGTAAGCATATATTTCTAACCGGATGGACTGGGGCTAGGTAGGGGTCCCACTATGTCGACTGCCACCCTGCTGAAGGGTTCCTCGATAATTGGCATGGGTAACAGTCGATCCTTAGGGTGATCCCCTCTTTTCCCCACTCGCTGGCAGACATCACACGTGCTGCAGTAACGCTGCACGGCCTTAGAGATCCCCGGCCAAAAAAATGTCTGGGTGCTCCTGTAGGTCGTGTGGTTACCAGCCAGGTGTCCTGCCAAGGGGATGTCGTGCCCAATTCGGAGAAGCTCCAAATGGTACTTTTTAGGTACCACCAGTTGGCGCTTCTGGGAAGGGGCACATCCTCTCTTTCTACCTTTATACTACCTTCTACTTTCAGCATACACCCCTCCAACAACCTGGGTGGCCGTTACAGCATCACTAACTGCTAGGAGGATGATGGGAGTACGCCTCACTAACAGCTAGAGGACGAAGGGAGTACGCCTCACTGACTGCTTGGGAGACGATGGGAGTACGCCTCACTGGCTGCTTGATGGACGATGGGAGTGCACCTCACTGACTGCTTGGAGAACGATGGGAGTACGCCTCACCAACTGCGTGGAGGACGATGGGAGTGCGCCTCACCGACTGCGTGGAGGACGATGGGAGTACGCCTCACCGACTGCGTGGAGGACGATGGGAATACGCCTCACAGACTGCGTGGAGGATGATGGGAGTACGCCTCACCGCAGTGGTCTAAGTGTTCATCTGGGTGGCGGCAATTCCTATAGACGACCACAAGGTGGCGGCCATCTTGTTCGCATGGACCATAGAAACATAGAAACATAGACCAAGATGGGAATAGACTTCTGGGGGACTTAGCTGCGAATTCCTTAGAACTATTTTCGGCATGAAAACTTTTGGGTTCCCAGTTGGGTCCCCAGCGGCACTCAGCTGCGATTCTATGGAACTATTTTCGGCTATGGGACCATGCCTGTGGTCGGTCAAAATGTGACTTTCAGGAAATTCCTGAACCCCTCGACTGATCTGGGTGACCGACATATCCAAAACTCACCCAGATCAGTCCAGGGGTTCAGGAATTTCCTGAAAGTCACATTTTGACCGACCACAGGCATGATCCCATAGCCAAAAATAAATTCCATAGAATCGCAGGGCTATTATAGTTACATAGTTACATAGTTACATAGCTGAAAAGAGACTTGCGTCCATCAAGTTCAGCCTACCTGACATTTGATTTTTGCTGTTGATCCAAAAGAAGGCAAAAAACCCAGTTTGAAGCACAATTTTGCAACAAGCTAGGAAAAAAATTCCTTCTTGACCCCAGAATGGCAGTCACATTTATCCTTGGATCAAGCAGTTATTACCTACATTGAAAGATTATATCCTTGAATATTCTGTTCTTGCAAGTATGCATCTAGTAGCCGTTTGAACATCTGTATGGACTCTGATAAAACCACTTCCTCAGGCAGAGAATTCCACATTCTGATTGTTCTTACAGTAAAAAAACCTTTCCTTTGCCTTAGGCGAAATCTTCTTTCTTCCAGTCTAAACTCATGGCCTCGTGTCCTATGTAAAGTCCGGTTTGTGAATAGATTTCCACACAATGGTTTGTATTGGCCACGAATATATTTGTATAATGTTATCATATCCCCTCTCAGGCGACGTTTTTCTAAACTAAATAGGTTTAAATTTGTTAACCTTTCTTCATAGCTGATATGTTCCATTCCTTTTATTAATTTTGTAGCCCGCCTCTGCACTTTTTCTAGTGCCATAATATCCTTCTTTAGAACAGGTGCCCAAAATTGCACAGCATATTCAATATGGGGTCTTACCAGTGATTTATAAAGAGGCAAAATGATATTCTTGTCCCGAGAATGAATGCCCTTTTTCATGCATGACAATACCTTACTGGCCTTGGCCACTGCTGATTGACATTGCACATTGTTGCATAGTTTGTTGTCTATAACAATTCCCAAGTCCTTTTCGTGTGTTGTTATCCCTAATTCGCTTCCATTAAGGGTATACGTTGCTTGTGTATTCTTTACGCCGAAGTGCATAACTTTGCATTTTTCAACATTAAATTTCATCTGCCATTTGAGTGCCCAGTCCCCCAGTCTATCTAAATCCCTCTGCAGCAAAGTAATATCTTGCTCACATTGTATTGTTTTACAAAGTTTGGTGTCATCTGCAAACACTGAAACATGACTTTCAATGCGGTCTTCAAGATCATTTATAAACATGTTAAATAGAAGGGGTCCCAGAACAGACCCCTGAGGGACACCACTTGCCACCTCTGTCCAGCTTGAAAATTTACCATTAATGACAACTCTTTGTACTCTGTTTTAAGCCAATGTTCTACCAAGAACAAGCATTTTCATCTAGACCGATTTCCTTGAGTTTGAACACTAATCTATTGTGTGGAACTGTATCAAATGCCTTGGCAAAATCCAAATAGATCACATCCACTGCAACACCCTGATCTATACTTCTACTTACTTCTTCGTAGAACGCAATCAAGTTAGTTTGACATGACCTGTGCTTCATAAAACCATGCTGATTTTTGCTGATAACCATGTTCTTCTCAAGGAATTCTTGAATATTATCCCTTAATAACCTTTCAAATATTTTACCAGCCACAGAAGTTAAGCTCACAGGTCTATAATTTCCAGGCAAGGATTTTGAACCCTTTTTGAATATAGGAACCACATCTGCCTTCCTCCAATCCTCCGGAACACTTCCTGAAAGAAAAGAATCTTGAAAGATTAAAAACAGAGGTTCACTTATTTCTGCACTTAGTTCCTTAAGTACACGTGGATGGATACCGTCAGGCCCTGGAGCTTTGTTTATATTAACTTTCTTTAGTTGCTGCAGCACCTTGTCTTGAGTTAACCAATTACAATTATTCTGCAAGTTTTTAGTAGCAATCATTTGCACATCTATTGCCATGGGTTCTTCCTTAATATATACGGAGGAGAAATAGTTATTTAAAATTCCTGCCTTTTCCTGGTCTTCATTAATTAACACCCCCGTTTCAGTTTTTAGTGTACCTACACTTTCATTTTGGTTTTTTTTAGAATTTATGTACTTAAAAAATGCTTTGGGGTTGGTTTTGCTCTCTTCAGCTATCATTATTTCATTTTGAAGTTTAGCAAGTCTAATTGCCTTTTTGCACGCATTATTTGCATCCTTATATCTTTTATAAGATGCATCTGATTTGTCCGATTTAAATGCTTTAAATGCCTTCTCTTAGTTGTAATCTCTTGTTTTACTTCTCTACTAAGCCATGTTGGTTTTAATTTGTTTCTTTTATATTTATTTCCCAACGGTACATACTGAGAAATGTACCTTTGTAATATTTGTTGGAAGATGATCCATTTATCCTCAGTGTTCTTTTCACTAAAGAGTTTATGCCAGTCAATATATTGTAAAGCTTCCCTTAACTTATTGAAATTAGCCTTTTTAAAATTATATGTTTTAGTATTCCCCATGTGCTTTTGTTTTTTTGAGTTTATTTCAAAGGACACTATATTGTGATCACTATTTCCCAAGTGCTCACCTACTTGAATGTTGGTCAAAAGATCAACGTTGTTTGTTAAAACCAGGTCCAGACAAGCATCCATTCTAGTTGGTGCTTGTACAAGTTGTGACATGAAGGTGTCATTTAACAAGTTTAAAAACCTAATTCCCTTTGCTGAGGCACTAGTCCCTCTGTCCCAATTTATATCCGGGTAATTAAAATCTCCAATAATTAAAGTATTACCCAGATTTGCAGCTTTCTCAATTTGCTCAAACAGCTGTTGTTCCTCGTCAATATTAACATTAGGTGGTTTATAACATATCCCAACCAATAGTTGGTTTCCCTTCTTTTCCCCCAAGCAGATATTTACCCATAAAGCTTCCACATTATCCTCCTCGCATTCCATTTGCTTAACATTTGGCTTTAAATCATGTTTGACATACAAACATACCCCACCACCCTTCTTGTTTTTCCTATCCTTCCTAAATAACATGTACCCATTTAAGTTAGCTGCACAGTCATGTGTCTCATCCCACCATGTTTCAGTTATGCCTATTATATCATATTGTTTAGTGTAATGTGTTTTGGGGTACTTTTGGGACTTTATAGAAAAGTGTGTTTTTTTTTCTGTGCTTGGAGATACTTGGATTAGAATTAGTACAGTTACTGGTCCAATTATCTCCCAGGCAGAGGGGATGGATTGTGTGTGAGAGTGTCGTGCCTTGTAACCGTATTGTTATTGGTCTGTTCCAATTGGTCGTCCCTTGTTCCAGCTAGGAAGCGGTCCTTGGCGGAGATACCCAGGGTAGAGGGAGCTCATTACAGCCTCACTGACTGCGTGGAGGACGATGGGAGTATGCCTCACTGACTGCGTGGGGGACGATGGGAGTACACCTCACCGACTGGTTGGGGGATGCTGGGAGTACGCCTCACCGACTGCGTGGAGGACGATGGGAGGACGCCTCACTGACTGCGTGGGGGACGATGGGAGTACGCCTCTCTGACTGCTTGGCAGACGCTGGGAGCACACCTCACTAACTGCTTGGAGGACAATGGGAGTATACCTCATTGACTGCGTGAAGGACGATGGGAGTATGCCTCACTGACTGCTTGGAGGACGATGGGAGAACGCCTCTGTGACAAACCCCCCTTTTCAAGTGAGTTTGCCATGAGTTCTTGGAGCGGCCTGCTTGCCAGTGTCCTGCCCACAGACTATGGACTCTGTAAACTGTGATATAAAAGTCTCAGTTTTTCTATTGGAATTATATGGTTCGGTAACTGAGCAGCCGCACAAACCGGAGACCACCCTGGAGATGGTTAAGCTTAATTGATACATTGTTGCAATTTCCACCGCAGTGGTCTAAGTGTTCATCTGGGTGGCCGCAATTCCTATAGACAACCACAAGGTGGCGGCCATCTTGTTCGCACAGACCAAAACCTGGAATAGACTTCAGGAGGACTTAGCCACGAAAGCCCTGGAATTATTTTCGGCATGAAAACTTTGCGGTTCCCCAGCGACACTCAGCCGCGATTCTATGGAACTATTTTCGGTGGAGGATGATGGGAGTACGCCTTTCTGACTGCTTGGGGGACGATGTGAGTATGCCTCTCTGACTGCTTGGGGGACGATGGGAGTATGCCTCACTAAATGCTTGGAGGACGATGGTAGTATGCCTCACTGACTGCGTGAAGGACGATGGGAGTATGCCTCACTGACTGCTTGGAGGACAATGGGAATACAGTACCCCTTGCATGGGGATTGTCATATAAGGCCATTAAAATCTATTCCAGCTTACACTCCAAAACTGTGTGTCGTCCTGTTATTGGAGGGAAAGAATATTTACTCCTGTGTCTGCTGTTCCAGCTTGCAGAGGATTCAACAGGGAAAGTCCTTGTAAGGACTAGAGCTCCCAGGACTGAGTATCGCCCAGTGCCTGGGGTGTCTAGAGCTAATTCCCCATTCAGCTCCAGGAGGGAGCGGTTCCAGGACCTAGTCAAGCCACGGCAACTGAGGGCAAGAGTGCTGAGGAGCTCCCTGTTCCAGCTGGGAAGCGGTCCTTGGCGGAGGTACCCAGCCGGGGTACAGGGAGCTCCGTTACAGTGGTGGTGGCGGCAGTGGGATGGCTTCCCAGCCTTGGGAAAACCAGCACTACTTCAGAGGAAGGATGGGCAAGGAATTCGGGAGAATGGGGTATGTTAGCCCCTGGGCAGCGCTCACATACAAGAAGGAGAGTGACCTGGAATGGAGGGATGCAGCCCGGAAATTACGATGGTACGATGCCCTGGAGGAAATTCAGTTTCAGCTCAAGGAGAGCCTTCCTGGTATAGCGCACCGCTTAGCGGATGGCGCTTCTGCGGGAACAACCCGGGACGGAGCGGGTAAGGAACTTTGAGTCACTAGTAGAGAGGGAACTGATCCTGGACGACTCATACTGGCCGATATGGTGGTGCACAGTCCAGCGAGAGACTTGGATGGAGTTCAGCGGGAGGGGGAGAACTACCGTAACCCTAGTCTGTTGTGGAAGGGCTTTGAGGAGGACGACGACCTTCGGCAGTCCAGCAGAGTCGCAGTTCTGGGCTATCTTAAGTTAAGGATTAGAGCTCCCAGGACTGAGTATCGCCCAGTGCCTGGGTTGTCTAGAGCTAATTCCCCTTCCAGCTCCAGGAGGGAGCGATTCCAGGACCCCAATCAAGCCATGGCGAAGGAGGGAAAGAGTGCTGGGGTTCGTCCCTTGTTCCAGCTAGGAAGCGGTCCTTGGCGGAGATACCCAGGGTAGAGGGAGCTCCGTTACAGCCTCACTGACTGCGTGGAGGACGATGGGAGTATGCCTCACTGACTGCGTGGGGGACGATGGGAGTACACCTCACCGACTGGTTGGGGGATGCTGGGAGTACGCCTCACCGACTGCGTGGAGGACGATGGGAGTACGCCTCACTGACTGCGTGGGGGACGATGGGAGTACGCCTCTCCGACTGCTTGGCAGACGCTGGGAGCACACCTCACTAACTGCTTGGAGGACAATGGGAGTATACCTCATTGACTGCGTGAAGGACGATGGGAGTATGCCTCACTGACTGCTTGGAGGACGATGGGAGAACGCCTCTGTGACAAACCCCCCTTCTCAAGTGAGTTTGCCATGAGTTCTTGAAGCGGCCTGCTTACCAGTCTCCTGCCCACAGACTATGGACTCTGTAAACTGTGATATAAAAGTCTCAGTTTTTCTATTGGAATTATATGGTTCGGTAACTGAGCAGCCGCACAAACCGGAGACCACCCTGGAGCTTGTTAAGCTTAATTGATACATTGTTGCAATTTCAACCGCAGTGGTCTAAGTGTTCATCTGGGTGGCCGCAATTCCTATAGACAACCACAAGGTGGCGGCCATCTTGTTCGCACGGACCAAAACCTGGAATAGACTTCAGGAGGACTTAGCCACGAAAGCCCTGGAACTATTTTCGGCATGAAAACTTTGCGGTTCCCCAGCGACACTCAGCCGCGATTCTATGGAACTATTTTCGGTGGAGGACGATGGGAGTACGCCTCTCTGACTGCTTGGGGGACGATGTGAGTATGCCTCTCTGACTGCTTGGGGGACGATGGGAGTATGCCTCACTAACTGCTTGGAGGACGATGGTAGTATGCCTCACTGACTGCATGAAGGACGATGGGAGTATGCCTCACTGACTGCGTGGGGGACGATGGGAGTACACCTCACCGACTGGTTGGGGGATGCTGGGAGTACGCCTCACCGACTGCGTGGAGGACGATGGGAGTACGCCTCGCTGACTGCTTGGAGGGCGATGGGAGTACGCCTCGCTGACTGCTTGGAGGGCGATGGGAGTACGCCTCGCTGACTGCTTGGAGGGCGATGTGAGTATGCCTCGCTGACTGCTTGGAGGACGATGGGAGTACGCCTCGCTGACTGCTTGGAGGACAATGGGAGTACGCCTCGCTGACTGCTTGGAGGATGATGGGAGTACGCCTCTGACTGCTTGGGGGATGATGGGCATACACCTCACTGACATGTTGTGTTCATGGTGTCTCGAAATAGTGCCTGGATAGTCCACATGATGTTCGATAGCCACCTTGTTGAAGTTTTAGCCGTCCATGGCTGAGTTCCAATCTGGCATGCAGTCATAGGCAGCCGGATTCAGTTCTCACCCCGGGTCGGAAGCCGTACCAGGGATTTTATGCTACTGGGTGGATATCATTGTGGGCGCTGAGCTCTGCCTGCTAGAGCCAGGGGAGACCCCAGAAAGGAGAAATTAGTCCCTATGAGTTTTTTGTAACGGATCTGATGGGTCTATGTCTCATTTTAGCCGGTTGTTAATTCAAACTGCCCCACAGGGGCACAAGGACAGAGTTGGAGAAAACTGCTCTCCTCTATATGAAAAACACAGTTAATATACAGCTTACTGCCAGAACCAGCATAGTGACTAATTACTGCCAGGAACAGCATAGAGACTAATTACTGTCAGGAACAGCATAGTGACGAATTACTGCCAGGAACAGTATAGAGACTAATTGCTGCCAGGAACAGCATAGTGACTGTGACGGACCGCTGGCACTCCGACTGAGTACCTCCGCCAATCGATGCTCCTAGTGCTCGCTGAGGACTCCAAGCGCTCCAACCGACACCATCAGCACTGCAGACCCCACTTCCAGCGATGCAACTGCGCCAGGGTCTCTGCTGTCTCCACCCACCCTGGACCCAAGGCCAGGATCCAGCTTCCAGTGGGTGAACCTCTCTTTCCCCAGAGAGCAGGAATAGGAACAAGCTCTTAGCAGAATTTAGTGATCATACCCTGTGGAGTATAGTGATTATAGCAATCCCCAGAGTGTATTTCTCCAATCCCCCAAACATGAGCCAAGGCTTAATGCTGGAACAAGACTGATTTACATGCAACACAAAACTCCTCCTCTGGGCCAGGCTAGATAATTGAGTTTCTACAATACACAAAGCTCAATTATCTGCTGGCCAGAAATAATACTGTTTTTACAGCATTCATAACTTCTAAAATATACATCACATTCACATAAAAATTATATATTCACAATCAATCCATTCAGAGAAACAACATATCAAAAAATGGCATGAATCAGTCCAGGGGTTCAGAAGTTAGTAAAGTACCTTTTGGGGCCTGGCTGGCAGCATGGCTATCTGGCCCAGACTGGTTTTACAGAGCCCTCTAGCCTGGAGACAATGGGGAAAGTAATCCAATTATCCAGGGATAGAAGCAGACTCCATTGAGCACATGTTCCCAGTAAAACACAAAAGGATACAAAAATACATAACTCCTATCCCTCTGAATTGAACGGGCCAAATCTCCCAGGGTCCATAGTCACAGGGCAAGAGACGGGCAAGCAGTCCTCTCCAGGCACAAGTGGCGAAGGGCACTTCGTCACAGTGACTAACTGCTGCCAGGAACAGCATAGAGACTAATTACTGCCAGGAACAGCATAGTGACTAATTACTGCCAGGAACAGCATAGTGACTAATTACTGCCAGAAACAGCATAGTGACTAATTACTGCCAGGAACAGCATAGAGACTAATTACTGCCAGGAACAGCATAGTGACTAATTACTGCCAGGAACAGCATAGTGACTAATTACTGCCAGGAACAGCATAGTGACTAATTACTGCCAGGGACAGCATAGTGACTAATTACTGCCAGAAACAGCATAGTGACTAATTACTGCCAGGAACAGCATAGTGACTAATTACTGCCAGGAACAGCATAGAGACTAATTACTGCCAGGAACAGCATAGTAACTAATTACTGCCAGGGACAGCATAGAGACTAATTACTGCCAGGAACAGCATAGTAACTAATTACTGCCAGAAACAGCATAGTGACTAATTACTGCCAGGAACAGCATAGTGACTAATTACTGCCAGGAACAGCATAGTGACTAATTACTGCCAGGAACAGCATAGTGACTAATTACTGCTAGAAACAGCATAGTGACTAATTACTGCCAGGAACAGCATAGTGACTAATTACTGCCAGGAACAGCATAGTGACTAATTACTGCTAGAAACAGCATAGTGACTAATTACTGCTAGAAACAGCATAGTGACTAATTACTGCTAGAAACAGCATAGAGACTAATTACTGCCAGGAACAGCATAGTGACTAATTACTGCCAGAAACAGCATAGTGACTAATTACTGTCAGGGACAGCATAGTGACTAATTACTGCCAGAAACAGCATAGTGACTAATTACTGCCAGGAACAGCATAGTGACTAATTACTGTCAGGAACAGCATAGTGACTAATTACTGCCAGTAACAGCATAGTGACTAATTACTGCCAGAAACAGCATAGTGACTAATTACTGCCAGGAACAGCATAGTGACTAATTACTGCCAGGGACAGCATAGTGACTAATTACTGCCAGGAACAGCATAGTGACTAATTACTGCCAGGAACAGCATAGTGACTAATTACTGCCAGGAACAGCATAGTGACTAATTACTGCCAGGAACAGCATAGTGACTAATTCCTCCGTTCAATGTTAACATGCCTGAAGCAGCTCAATTTACCTGCTTCCATTATGATCCTTGAATAGAAAAAAACGATTTCTCTTAAAACGACTGAGCAAATGGCACAAAACATCCGTCACCACTTAACCCTTCAATCACACAGAGATCACATATGGCTGACAAGAAGCCCAGGTACTTTCTCAACATTCATTCAAGCCTTCTTGGTCCTGAACTTCCTCAGTATCGTTTTCTTCTAAAGACAACAATTTCAACTAAACTAAAAAGAAATGTCTAAACTTGTCTTCTTACTCGCAGCGTATACTTTAATTTCTCTGTAATTTCACTTGCAAAGGCCCTGCTTTGAGGGGCAGCCAGGGCAATAAAACTGCTTTCACACCATTCACTTAACTTTTTTTGTGTTTTTTTTTTGGAGGAATTCTGAAACTGAAATAAACTGCCTCCATTCTTGCATGGCAAGGATCCACTGATACACCCCCTGTAGGTTGCCATCTGCTCACCCTTTTATACCATGATTAGGCTTGGCTGCAGCAGTTGATCAGACCGGGCGTTCCCCCCATGTGCTTATCGTATGGCTTTCCCTTGTGCTGCGGATTGTGACCCTGCAAGTGGTTAGGATGAATACTTCCTTTCTGTCTGTGTAGTTCAGGAGTTCGTTATTCACAGAAAGCAGCTCTTTGCTCCTTTTAGGTTTATTTTTGTACCAGGGCCTTTGGCAAACCTATGCAAGTCTTCCTGTAGCTGTCACGGTAGTATACCCCAACACGCAAGAATAGTCCAACAAGATACAAGATACGTCTTACCGGGCCTTAGAATGGCCGGACTCGACGTGGACAGGAAAAGACAGAGTCAAGAGCGAGCCGAGGTCAAGGGAACAGAGAGACAGCGTAAACAAGAACGAGCCAATTGATTTCACTTTATTTGACTCACTGGGGTTTAATATAACAGCTGGTATTTATCATGCTGTGATTGCTAGATATTGGTTAGATCTACTGTTGCTTTGCTATTTATATTGCAACATTTCTCAATACAACACTCTTCACTAGATTGAGTTACATATTAGGTATTTAATTGCACTAATTGTAACTATGTTGCGCCCTGTGTGCGCACAGTAGCTTTATATCCTCTAGTATTTAGCCATATATATAGCTTCAGGCCAAGCAGTTTGGTTTATGTATATAGATAGGTTTTGATGTGTTTTTTTCTTATACGTTTTTAATCATTAATAAAACTTTATTATTTTCTTATTTTGAGACATAGTTTTCTGCAATCTTATATATGTACTGTATATCTTATATGTACTGTTCCTAAGGGGGTACTGGTTTTGATGGGATTAGCCTCCTCTCTAGGTAGAGGAGTATTTTTCCCTCATCTCCTTATTTTCCTTCATTTCTTGCATATCCCAGGGTTAGGCCCTTTAGTACCCCTGTAACCCTTCCTGTACTTTTCATCAGGTTGTTTCCTGGTCAAGAGTACTGTGTATATATTTATAAGAACTAGCCAAGGATTGGTACACAGGAGTCAGGAAACCGGTGAACAAGACAAATCAGGGATAAAGAGAAAAATGGAGTCAGATACAAAGCCAAGGTCAAGCACGAAAAAAACACTACTACACGAAGCAAGCACTGAAGGGAACTGAAACAGAAACCATGATAGAGCAGGGAGCTAAGGGAAAGGTGAGTATAAATACCTAATAGTTTAATTTGATTGGCCCTTGTCATATCCACGCCCCCAAAACGTGAGTGTATGGGGAATGTGGAATGACATGGGCCAATGGGAGACCTTTTTTATTTTTGGCTCCCACTGTCCCTTTAAAAGCACGCCCGCTATGTGCGGCACACTCCCAGTGCCAGGCAAGTCACGTGGCTGCTTCTCGCGGTCAATGCATGCCTCCTCGTCGGACAAGCCGAATGCGGCTCGTTCAGTTGCAGAACCGTGCGTGGCTGGGAAAGAGGACCTCGCACGGCCCCTGGAGAGGGTAAGTACCGCTACAGTACCCCCCTGAAGACACACCCACAGGGCAGGGAGGACCCAGCCTTGCAGGAAAACGAGAATGGAAGGAGCGCAGAAGGCGAGGAGCGTGAACAGAGTCAGCGGAGATCCAATTGCGTTCCTCCGGCCCTTCCAATGCACGAGGTACTGGAGGTGACCCCGGAGAAAATGAGAGTCAAGCACGGCAGCCACCTCAAATTCCTCATGACCCTCCACAGAAACAGGAGGAGGAGGAGGAACAGAACGGGTATAACGGTTACACAGGAGCGGCTTCAACAAGGAGGTGTGAAAGACGTTAGGAATACGCAGGTTACTGGGAAGATCCAAGGCATAAGAAACAGGATTAACTTTATGCAAGATACGAAAAGGACCGATAAAACGGGGAGCCAGCTTCATAGAAGGCACACGAAGGCGGATGTTACGAGTAGAAAGCCAAACCCTATCACCCACAACATAGGATGGAGCTGCTCTGTGATGTTTGTCAGCCTGAACCTTTTGACGAGCAGCAGAATCCACCAAAGAACGCTGAACCTGCTCCCAGGTAGTATGTAAACCGGCCAAATGCTCATCCAGAACCGGCATGCCCCGCAAGTAGTGATGTCGCGAACCTGAAATTTTCGGTTCGCGAACGGCGAACGCGAACTTCCGCAAATGTTCGCGAACCGGCAAACCGCCCGAAACGCCATTGACTTCAATGGGGAGGCGAATTTTAAAACACACAGGGACTCTTTCTGGCCACAATAGGGATGGAAAAGTTGTTTCAAGGGGACTAACACCTGGACTGTGGCATGCCGGAGGGGGATCCATGGCAAAACACCCATGGAAAATTACACGGTTGATACAGAGTCTGGTTTTCATCCATAAAGGGCAGAAATCACCTAACATTCCTAAATCACAATCAATATGGATTGACACCTGACATATGACATATTGACACCTTGACATATGGATTGACACCTGTCCTCAGAGCCCCTGATGCACACGGACACAGAGCAGAATAGAGACTGGTCCCCTACATAGGGTCACTTGGCAGATATGGATTGACACCTGTCCTAAGGATCCCTGATACACACTGACACAGAGCAGAATAGGGACTGTTCCCCCTACATCGGGTCACTTGGCAGATATGGATTGACACCTGTCCTAAGGTTCCCTGATACACACTGACACAGAGCAGAATAGGGACTGGTCCCCTACATCGGGTCACT